GAAGTGTGCTTCACAGCTGAAAGTTGGTAGGGATAAAATTGAGGTACATATGTTAATAGGATATGAGGAGGTCTAGCATCAATGATTTTGGTATGCATACAATCCATTTATCAGAACAATGCATTTGTAAACATTTGTATTTTGAGGTATAGAAATAGTTCTAGCTTTAGAAACTCTTTTCAATACTTTGATAGCTGGTTACCTTTACAAATGGCTACCTTACTTGATATTATTGTTTAAAATTAAAAACTGTCAAATATTCTGTGAAGCATAGATTTCTAGAATGGATACAGTATTTTACTAGCCAAAAGATCAAAGTTGTGCTGTTATTGGTTTTGAACTTGTGTCAAAGAGGATGAGGCCAAAATTTAACAGAGACCAAAAAAATTAGCTCTGCTCTCACACTACTAGATCACAAGTCTTTTCCATTGTTATAGGATGAGCTTACAAAAAAAACCCACAGAAACCAATTTTCTGTCATTACACATTACCTGTAATATACATCAAAGAGAACTAAACATCCTCATCCAGAATTTTACTCAACAGAGACACATCTAGATTTGTATTCATTTTCAACAATACATAGCAAATGGTCTAGAACCCAGGCTGAGCTCTCTTCTTTTCAAATCTGGTTGAGTACACAGACAAGACATTTTGAAACATAAGAGCAGATAACTCTGAAAAGGCATGTTTTTTGGATTTGTTTTAAATGGTCTTTCCATCCAAAGCCAGTAATTCTCAGCATTTTAAACAGCTGCTATTTTTAAGCCTGATCATATTTTCCTACTTCCAAGCTATGGAGCAAATACAGATTTTTTACCTATTCATACAGTACTATCGCCAAAATTCAAGTCAGTTCAAATTACTTTACTGTATTTATCCCCCTGGGGATATGGATATATCCTCATATGGAGTGTAGCAGGCTGATCAAGCTGCACTGTCTTTGCTCTCCCATTCAGAGAATTCATTAGGATTCACTGAGGATTCTTCCATGATTTAACATCATGTTACATCTAAGATTTGGTACAGTAGTACACCCAAACCAAGTTTTCACACTGAGAACATTTCTTCTGTGAAAAATGCACCTTTGTAAAAGGAGAGAAGAGGGAAATCTACTAAAATATCAATGGAAAATTTGGTAAAATTAGGATAATTTTGTTGAACTCAAAGTGAAAGGGGTGTGTTGAGAGGTAAAAAAAATATCAGTGTCTCATTGAAATGGTAATGATTCGGTCTTCAGCTGAGAATATTTTTGAAATGTTGAAGTGTACAAAACACAACACAAGAAAGGCTTCAAACAAAAGGAAGCCATTCAGCACATCTAAAATATTTATGTGTTAACTATAAACTGATCCAAGGTTCTCATCCAGCCATTTCATGAACAAATACAGGCTATCGGCTTCCATAACTTAGTTTACAACAAATATATCCTAACATTCTGCTTCCATTTTTCACAAGCATCTTCATCAAGCTCTGCATGCATTTCCTTCTAAGCCTACTTCCTGCAATTGACAATTGACTCTCATCAGGCACTTTATGACATACAATATCATAGGTTCTGTAACGATAACTGCTGACTGAACCTTGTTTGCAGAACTATGTAAAGTTAATTAAGCAAGACTTACCTTTTCAAAATCCTGCCTGTCCTCTAAATCCCATTGCTATACAAATGATCTGTTAATTTAGTTCTAAAGATAATTTTCATACTAACCTTACATAGATATAAGACATATTGGTTTATAATTATTTGGTTCAATTCTGTTGACCTTTTTAGGTGCTATATTAGCATTTCCCAGTTAATTAGTATCACCTCTGAGTGACAGTTGGAAGACTTTTGTTAGTGGTCACTGAATAACACCATCGTTTTTCTCAAGTACAATTATTAGAATAACATCAGGCCTTAAGGCGTCAAGTGCTTGTAATATAGATTTTTTCTATTTATTATTATTTAATACAGCAGTCATTTTCCTCTCATCGTCTAAAAGTTTCTCTATTATCTCTGAGACACTTTACTTCATCCTTTACAGTTTCTTCTGTACTGAGCATTCAAAGTTTTCTTCATTTTTCTGTTTGTTTCAAAGAAAACATGTTCAAAATTGATCAGCAGACTCAATCTTTTAAGCCACTACACATTGCCATCAAGTCTGATTTATTCATAATGAGAACTTCTCATTAGTTCTAGGTTCTTCGTGATATTTTAACATAATTGTAAAGCCAATGTCTGGTTTACTACTTCCAGCCTACAGACAGCTAACCTATGCATTGCACCAAATAGTAACCATAGACTGTGGTGCTATTTAGAGCAATCAAAAATGGCTCAAGTCTGTTAGCTTGCCCAGCTTTGCTCGTGCAGTCTTTGTAATGTTTGGCTTGCTTGTCTTTCCAAGTACAGTATATTTTCATGAAAACACAAAGCTCTCAGAAAAAAAAGAGAAACATAGACATACAGTAATATAAAGCCATAGTTTAGACTGTGGCATTAGTACACATTTCTAGACTTTCTTAAATAGGTATTGAAGTTCAAAACTGGCGTCACTTTAGCTGTGAGACTTATGAACATTTTGTTTACCTTGGATAGCAAGTACGATTTTGGCGAATTTTAGGCTGTAATTATGTGGATGACAAACACATTTGCTGTGGTCTGAAAGTAATATAAAACTGCTGCCCACAGTCCCACTAACATTTAAGATGTCCCATACAACTTTCTCCTGCAGTAAATCAACTGCCATAATGTGCCACAGAGTTGTTAATTATTTGGTATGTTCCTTACAGCACTCCAGAAAACAATCCAAAGTGGTTAAAGTCTTATCTTTCTATATTGCACAAGTACTATGGAAATAAGCACCCCTTTCTTGTTTCCTAAATACTGTATGTTTTTTTTTAAAGATAACAGCTCATGTCAATATAAAATCACACTAACATTATTTCTCTCATAAAACTAATGAACCAAATCAAATAATTATTTGACTATATTACAAATAATTAATTTTTTTTCTTTTGATTTTTCATAATGGCCTTAGACAGGTGTCACAGCAAGGGTATTTCTGTTATCTTTCTTTTAGTTCTTTCAGTTATCTAGGTATTTTTTATACTATTTTGCTACCTCTGAATATTATTATTCATTTTCTAAAATCCTTTAAGCTTGTTAAATTGTATTTTTTTTATTTTCTTCTGTGGTGTTTAGAAAAAAAAGAGTCCTGTACAGACAATCAACAACAAAAACAACTGAAAAAATAAACTGAATTTGTAATAAACAGTTACAAACATAAACTTTTGGAAAACAAAAGGCAAAACAATAGTTGAACCAACTTGCTTCATTGCAATGGTACAGAAAACCTAAAACTCCCTTTATGATTTTGTTTAGAAGCAATCCAAGAGCCTTAGTGCTCGTCCTGCCTTAAGTAAGTTTAATTACAGGCTAAGGAGGGCAATCATGACAGGAAGTGAAGATTGAGAGGCTTAAAATCTACTGTTAAAGTTAAATACTAATGCTAAGAGGCCCTTCTACAACCTCACATTTGTGTCACACACAACCAAACGCCCTACAGTACAGGCTTCATTGTGTGGGCTTCATATGTACAGTAGTATTAAAATGATTACTTTTGTTGATTGAAAATTCATCATAGTTTAAGTAGCTGCTGTTTTCAGGTCTTTTTTTAGCTGAAGGCAAACATTTAAGACACAGCTCTTATTAATGTGCATTCCACAAAGATGCATCAAATTTCCCTGCAATATATTGTTAAGCTTCAATGTTGTTGAAAGCTTTTCCAATGTTCTGTTATAATTACCTTTGCACCTCTAGGACACTGGTAGGAATAAAAATGAATTTGAATATATATGGTTTCAAATAAACAAAGAACTGAGAACCCCTGGCAATGAAAACCCATGTCATAATTAAAGCTAGAAGAAACAAATCAAAAGGAAAAAAATAACACATAGTTATAGTACATATATAGGCATTTTTGTACCTAACTAGAGATTTATGTCCTTATTTTCTGTTGTGAAAAACTGTATGACAAATACAAATAGCACATTTTACATAGGAAGACTTCCCACAACAGTTAGGCATTTAAACATACAATCAAATATATAATACAATAATTAAAATAGCATCAGACAGGATAGAATGTATCATATAGTGCTATTTTAAGTATGTTAAGGAAAGGTTGGATGTAGTAATAATTACTAGCTCTTACTGGTTTTCAAAAACTTTGATTAGTGCTGTTGAAAATATTTTCACATCAAATTACAAGGTACATCCTTCTGTAGCCTGTGCTTCAGCCCAATATTATTTTGTTGCAAGAAATTAAATATGCACATACTGTATAGAAAATGAATATGGTAAATACTTGCCTCAGTTATATTTGCTATATATACTTTACCTTTTCGGTCTTTTTTTGTTTGAAAACTTGTTAATGTCTTTCAAATGAAGCTTTTTCCCCCAGAATAATCATTTTCAGAGTAACTACATCTACACTTTTTACAGGTGTATTAGAGGTTTACATAAATGGCAATATTTACTTACAAAAAGTATTGAATAGAATAATACAAATTAACCAAAATAATATTTTTTGGAATAAATACAGGCCTTTTAATTGAATAAGACCTGTTTTTTTCACCCTATGTTCAGCTGTATCTTTTTAAATCAGTGGCTTTGGAAATGTATGCATTTATGTAATATGTGTTGTGCTACATTCTCTCTTAAACATACTCTGTGAGAAAATAATGTCTAGGACATAGTGACATTGTTTTACATTTTCTAATTGGACTGCTGCCAAGAAGTACATCATGCTATAATGTGTTTGGCAATTTTACAAGCATGATAGTAAATCTTCACTTTAGAATTAGTAATCATTCTATTTCTGTCCATACAAGAAATATAACACAATACCATGTGGAAAATACATTCTATAGATATGTACTGAAGTTTTCCACTGATGTTTTTTAGCTTAGGAACCTGCATATGTCTAATTAAGTTGAACAATTTAGTATTGCATTACCTCAAAGACTTCTTCATCGAGAATCCTGGTACCGAAAACAGTGATGCCTTCTGTGTTAATGACTGCATGGTCACTTCTGCCGAGTTGTTTTGTGATTTTCTTTTTACAGTCAACAATGAAGGTTACAGATTTCTTATGAACGCTGATAGCTACTCGATGCCACCTGTTCAGATTGAAAAGAAGAGGAAAACCATGCTCAAAAAACAAATCTCATGTAGCAGACGAAGAGTTAACAGGCAATGCATGTGAATCAAACACCTACCTCCCAGGCAGGTCAGGTTGTTACTACATTTAAATAATACATTCCAGGAGTGGTATACTGCATTCTTGCCCCCACTCTCTGGCCTTTGCAACACTGGATTAAACTCATTAAATAGAAAACCAAATCCTTCATCTGGGTTATTCAGTGTGACAGATACGGTGCACATTGTAGGAAGTGTGTCACAAAGAGCTCCAGAGACCCGTGTTTACATATAAGCCTTTGGATTAGTATGTTATCAGAAATAAATCAAATTAGCAATTTAAAGAAAAAAAGAATACCAGATAATGACTTCTCAGTGTCCCCAGAAGCAAAACAAATTGAGAGCTAAACTGTTCGGTGTTAATTTTTAAAGTATTTTAAATGATTGTTTCACGTGAAAAAGCTTTTCTAAAACATCCATAATAAATAGCCTGAATTTTCTGTAGTCGCATCCCATTTCCATCTCTGTATTTACTGGTATCCTGTTTTTAAAAATCATCGCTAACTTTAAGGCATTTCAATCACCATTACTCTAGAAAGTGCAATACACGTACAGTATAACTTCCCCTAAATTATCTAAAACATGACTAATTACTAACATCATCAAATGGACACCAAAAGATATGTATCATTTTCAAAATGAACACAAACATTTTCCTTTTGTAAAACACAAACCTATAGAGAAGCTAATAAATTATTTTATAATGCCTTCAATGTATAGATAGTAACACTGTAGTACGCCAGTATGGAAATGTGTCTTTATTTTATTTTTAGGTGTTTACATTATTGTTCAAGGCTGCAAAAGAACACGTTACCTGCTTTAAGATCTACAGCGGTCCAGGTGTGAGACTTTCAAAGCTCTTGAAATTACTGGCCATTGATCATAAGCTCACCAAAAGTCCCTGCTTGAACAGCCTCTAACAGTGTTCTTAAAAAAATCACATTACAAGGAAATACAAAGCTTCCTTAAATATACTGTAATCTGCTTTTTGCATTTGCACTCAGAAAGGTTACGATTTCTATGAAGAGTTTTTAAACTTTAAAATTATTTGAAAATAGAATCGCTCAAAGTGAGTGATGAGGAAATTATGAACTGAAACCTTTCTGCTGTGTTCCATTAGGCTTTATTCAAATTTGGTTTGTCATGCTTAAAACTGAATCATGCACTAAAAACGTATGTTGGAAATAAAAACATGAATAACAAGTTGGCAGTTCATTCCCAGCTTTGGTTGACAGAATTGACAGAATCTTGAAGAGTTTTGAAGTTCTTGTTTAGAAGTTGTTTGGTGTGAACTATAAAACCCATTTAACTCAAAATGTTATAACAGCACTTCCAAATATTGATGGAAGGTTGTACTTTAGTTAATTTAGACAAACTCTTTTACACTATTACTGGGAGAAAGCAGTTTGGTTGTATTAGACATTCAAATGAAATGTAGCCATTTTTCAAAAACATGAGACACTTTGTGTATATTTTTGAAAGGCATCACTTGTTTTATATCCATAAATATTATTAAGATGTCAGAATGTTACAAAATCTCTAGATGACAATTGAAAACTGCTTCAGCGTGATGTTAAAATTACATTTTGACTGTGACAACACTGTCAAGAATGTTTCAACACCCCCCAGCAGTTTTACAAATAGGCATTGCCACAGTGTTTCTTTACTAACATTCAGATTTTTATGATGCTACCAGGCTACCACAACATTATTTGGTTAGCTAAGTAAACACTCTTTCATACCAACAGGACTAATATTATCACACATCTCTGTTTGTAAAATTATATAAGAAGCCTACCAAAATGCTGAATCCTATTTTTAGCAATACACAGTGTACTGCGTAGGAAATTATTAAATTTGATAATAATTTAAATGATCAGTGGCAATTTAGCTCTTCCCTTCCCTTTCCCTTCTCCTGGAATTCGGCCAGACAGTGAAACACTAAATTGCTCTACTGAGAGCATTAGTTCCTGGACAACAGGCAGCAATTATGTGTGCTCAGCTATAAGTGAGGTCAGATGGTCTCAGTCCTCAGGGTTATCAATATGATCGATTTGCTATTTGTTGTTTTGCAGAGTAGGACATTTTTATTTTTTAAAAGGATACATGACACATTACTATTTCAGTATGAAAAGGGCAGTCTTTGTATATAGTTTTAATATGTAAGATATTGATTTACAATAATATTTAATCTGTAAAGTGAGATCTCTGTATTTACTATTTCATGGCTTATTGGCCATCAATCAATAATATTAAAACAGCATTGTTTTAATGGATTTTAATATTGATCTTTTGTCTTATGGGAAAAAATGCAATCATTTGAAAAGACTACATGAATGCCACTGCCTGCAGAGTAACTTTTTTTAAACTCTGAGTAGATTCACACCTATATAGCAACTGCAAGGCCGGAGTGTACCAATGATATGCATTCTAAACCCATTCTAGTCTGGAAAATATATTTTTCCAAAACTGTTCAACTACTCTTGCCAAAAAGAGGTTCAGGTAAAAGTAAGATTTAATGAAAACACTTAATGCATTTTATGTTATTCACAAAAAAGAGCATTGTACATTTAATAAGACTATGAAAAAACAATATGTATATGTGGATACAATAACAATCCCTTCTATTTGTTTGGTTACTGGTGTGCATTACAAAGCTGCTCCTTAGAGTGAAAACAAGCTTACAACACCCAGTTAGTAACCATCAGCTAATGAGATAAGAGCCTCTCTTACCATGATTCACAGGTTTTCTTTGAAATATCTCATCAGTAAAATCACTGAATGGCAAACTGTAATTTGCATATCATCTATTTACTATTTTAAAAACTGTAATAGGATGGTATTAGCTTTTCCGTTTTCTGTTTCAAAACCCCTTTAATTGCACATCAACGGTTATTCCAAACATGAGAATCTGCTTTTGCCTAGCTTTGTGAGATAAGAGTTTACTTAAAATAGTCGGCAACCAAATCCAGCACCTGATTCCAAAGACAGCACAAAGAGCATCTAAAGGCACAGGAATCACAAAGCAGCAGTCATCAACTTCAATGACAGATGGTTCATTTGCTACCATGAAATTAATATGAACTACACTGCTTATTACTGCATCACCTGTATATTGTAAAAACACTTCATGAACAGCATTATAAAGACACAGAGATTGTAGAAAACGAGCTTAAGAACTTCACAACAGTACAGTAGGGCTTGACGCCTGTAAATCTTTTTTGAGAAATCAATGATAGGAAAAAGTAGTTTAAAGTAGTTTGTTTTCCTTCACTTACTTTCCATCAGCCAGATTTAAAGTCCTGAACAAAGGATAATCCTCAGGGGCAGGTTTGCCGAATTGATCCTCGTACAAGAACACTGGGGATCTTCCCACTTCTACTCCGAGCTGCTGAATTCCTTGCTCATTGTACACTGACAGTAAGAAGGATTGTAACCCAGCCTTGGGCCTAATTGTTGTTAGGATAGAGAAATCTTCAGGGAACACTCCTCCTATTGCATAGAAAGAGTAATTTTAAAAAATGTTAGATTGGCAGAAGGCTCTTTAAATGCAAAACACGCAGATTGAATGTTGCACATTGAAAAGATCTACCAAATGATTCACTATTACAAACACTAATGGAGCTTAATTCATATTAAAAGTAAATGGAAAAAGAAGATTCTTTGTCATGATGTGATTAAAAGTCCAAAATAAACCAGCTTAATGTATTTCAAAATGAAAGCCAGGTTTAGAAAAGGAAAGAATAACAACGCATTGTGTGTCTACTTCTCTTGGTATTCTAGGGTAGAATATTTTGAATACGATCTACATACTATATTCTGAATAATTAGCTAAGTAAATGTTCATACACTGTGGAAGCCTCTGTGCTCTTTTCTTTCAACATATACAGTACAAAAATGACTGCAAGACATATTTAATGATTACAAAACATAATAATACAATTCAGATATTGAGCACATAATGTTCCAAGGCCTTTTCAATTTTGCTTAACTTGTGTTATTTTTTGTTATCTTGAATGTCATTTTCCATTGCAATACAACCAATTATCAAAACATATATTCATTTAAAAACTGCCTGTTAAACAGTAAGTTTAAAATCTGTTTCTCCAATTATAAATAGAAAGATTTTATTTTTTATGTCTGCTTTTGAGTGATCAAGAGCTTCCAAAACTTTTTTATCACTCATAACAATACATACTTAAATGTGCATTCAAACTTAAAAATCATAAGAAGGAATGATTGCTACATAATAACTGCATTTTATGTAATAACTGCCATTTTGTATGCATTCTTCATTGGATGGGCATTTCTTTCTTTCCTAAATTCCCTCTACCCTTGATAGTTGGTATATCCCTTTCCAAAATGAATGGTTCTTTAGACTGTAGTAAACCGCTTCAAAGATATTGTTTTGAAAACATTTCCTTCCCTGAAGAAAATAATATAGCTAGTTTATAGAAAGCTAGTTTCTTATTTAAGCAAAAGGCATGGCACCTTTTACAGTTTTAGTCTCAAAAGAAAATACTGCTCAGTTGTAGCAAGTACTTCTTGCCAATTTCGATGTTTTTGAGGGCTAAAGTATAGCACTGAAACACTCACAATATGTTATGTTAAATAAAATAAAACCTTATCCTTAAATTACTTCTTAGATTACAATAAATAATCAAATATGTATTATTATTACTGAGCAAAACAAATCCCAAAAGGACAGATAATACAGTAATGTCTTACTTACCTGGAAATAGCTGCTTTGTTGGGGCACTGATTTGTGCTTGTTTTCCGACACTGTAGGCTGTGTCTGGTTGTGAGTCTCTTCTATTTGTGCAGAACCCTGATGTTTTCCTTACTCCTTCGGGGCTATTATGAAATTCTAATACTTTAAGCACATCAACTGGATCAGCTGTATGAAAAAAGCACAGAAATATACACACTTTATCTCTGTTTCACTCTAATGGGTTCACAAATTATATAACAGTCTATACTGATTTCAGTATAGACTGTGGGGGGACTGTGGTAGTGTGAACCCTGAAAATGAAGAAGCAGAGGTTAATTCCATGCTGAAATGTAGAAAGCAAAAATCTGCGTGTGTTCTTTAGGAGTGTTCTCCAGATGAAATGTTGTTAGTCCTTCTTTCAACACGAAAGTAACCTCTTTGGGTTAATTTAACAATTTTAAGGACTTAATGATTTATTACCTTTAGATTAAAAATGCAAACTTTACAACTGAGATCTTTAACATTATTTTTAAGTGCTACCTAAGCACTGTATTGACGACATGATTACATATTTTGTTAATCTGCAAATGGAGTTTACAATGTTCAGGAAGCGGATAAGTCCTTCTTATAAGCAATTATCTGCTCCCTCCTCAATATAAATAAGAGTCACTAGACTTTCCTTTCCAGCATTCAGGAGTCAGTAACACTTCACTAGTCCCATCTTCATTGCCCTTACAGCTGCCCCTGGGCTCATCTCAGTCAAAGTGGGGGAGGGGTCACACTTCCCCTTATCCAGATGGTCAGGTTTTTAGCTCTTTAGACAAGCAGGTTAAAGCCAAAGACAAAATCTAAGAATCTTCCATCACTACCTCCATGAGGTCAGTAAACATTCTCTCAATAGTGATTGCTATTGAGATAGATCTATTATTACTAGAAAACATACCCTTTTGTGTATACAAAATCCTCTTAGTAGAGCCATTCTTAAGAGTGCAAGATTGCTTTTTAGGTAATATAGGTATGATCTATTACATCACACAGAATTTGTAACTATGCATAAGAGTCTTACTAAGGGACCTAAATCACTACAGTCAGCTTCCTCATAGTATTTGCATATAAAAAAACAAATTAAACACAATTTCTTTTTGTTTGTCATAAAAACAAACAAAAATATCTTATTGGAGGGAAACAGCTTTAGAAAAACGTATTTTGAAACACATTTCCTCTTGGCCCTCTGTACTTTGTTAGCATGCGACAACTTACAAAATTGTCATTACAGACTGAGCACTTGTATTTTATGAGAAACATAAGTAATAGGCCTGTAAAGATGAAAAGACTATTGCTGCTGGTGTAATTTGGGACCCTGCTTCTCTGCTAATCGAAATCAAAACAGTCTGGAATAAAAGCATATGGTATTACTCATTGATGTTGTGGATCTAAATTGGAATGAAAGGACTTAGGGTTTATAATGGACACAACGGTCTCATCTTCTTTAGATAAGGTGTCAGAAACAGTGTTTAACATAAAAAGAGGAAAAGAAAGCTAGATCTAAAGGACTTGAGTTAGGTAATTGTATCAAAATTATGAAAATACTTTTACCTGAACCTTCTTATCTAGGCATTATGTTCTTTAATACTACAAACCACATTGTCAAATTGAGTTTCCATGAGATATTATACAGGTGTATAATGTAGGTGAATACTCAATGGTGAGTGTTTACTATATATTTGTTTTTGTGATGATAAGTCTGACTTTTAACATCATTCATGTTTGACGTGTATGTGAAATAGGCATGTCTATGTTGAGTTTTGCAGTCCAATCTCAGATAGCAAGGAATAAGCTACCAAATGTGCTCATTTCTGCATTAATAACACTTCATTTAAATGCAAAGTAAAATGTGTTACATATAGGCAACTAAAGCAGAAAATCATAATTATTTAAAGCTTTTGTAAGGGAATATTTTAGACTTGCTTTAGTCACATTTTAAGAAACCTAATTTAACATAATTAGTGTATATTATAACATCTTAAATGACAAATAAACTATTTAAATAAACTTAAATAAGGAAACCATGTTGTCAACTATACATCATGGAAAAACCATCTCTAGGAAGGAAATATGGCAAACCAAAATTTGGTCAAAGTTAGGTCTCAGTGGTCATAGTAAAAGTATTCTCCTTCATAAGGACTGCAGAACACTGCCTAAATACCATATGCAACCAAGCAAGACTAACAGCAATTCTGGGAGGCACATACAATGGATATAGCATCCACAGCAGAAACACAATATGGTGAGCTCTTAAACACTTGATGAGGGAGAGGAACTCAGCTAAAAAACTTGATTCTGTCTTTTTTCTGACAGGCTATAGAAAATACATAGTCTGCTATATCCAACAAACTTTTCTTTGTCAAGAAACCAAAATTTAGCAGACAGTTACATTAAATAAATACAGGGAAATTCTTTCCATATAAAAGAAGTGGCTCCAGGAAAGATTTTAACAGTAGACAGCTTGATTATACAAGTGACAGCTAAAAGTAGCTCATTGAATCTAGCTCAGCACTCCATGTGTGTGTTGGCATACAAAGTGTATCTTAGGGTTTTGCTTCCTTCCTTATGCATACTACACACAATATCTGCATGGCATTGCAGTTTTCTACTGTATGGTGTTCTTTGCATGTACTGTACCATTTTATCTGAAAATTAAGTTGGGTTGCCTTTTTAATAGAAGTAACTTTAACTTTAAAACTTTAACTTTAAAAATGCAGTTGCATGTTAGATTCACTAGGGTCAGCACCATATTTGTGAAAACTCCTCTAAGAAGTAAGACAAAAAGTGATTTTACAGAATGAAAAAAAAAACAAATGGTTTAAAGGTGTATTGAAAAGAAAATGCAAAACCATGAAGGAAATGACATCTAATGAACAACAAAGCCTATGGTATATGAGTCTATGTAACACTAATGTTAAGATAATAGGATAATTATTTGTTTAAATACTTTATAAATATATACGTGTATTAATCAAATCTGTTGAGACAAGGTGTAACTATATTTTAGAAACTAATTCCATTTGGCACATACAGTATAACTAAGTGTTTCCATAATTATCTTTAGCCACTTCACATCTAGCTCTTACGAATCTGCATGACTTCCTCAGGAACCCATGTGAAGGAATACTCCAGATAAACTATGGGTAAGCTGATTTTAATAATCTATGTTTTATTACTAATATATCATGGTAAATAAACCAGGTAGTTTCAATCTATTCTTGTTGCACAACATGGTGTTAGATCCACAGACTGCTCTCTGAAGTATTATTTGTATGCATATTGAATGAATTAGAATTCTGGCACTTGCAACATTTTAGCCTCTACTCTTCAGACCTTCGGTAATGCACATGTGATAAAACATATGTATTGAGAGTTCTCTGACACCAGGACAAATCTCCCAAACTGCAACTGAAATGTCCTTAATTAAAATTCTTCCAATCTGGGCTTTGCACAAAGCTAAAAGCAGTTACTAAAGGCTTCGAAACACCACATTCCCAGAGCTGAAAACACAATCATGACCCTTTAAATCATTGAACGGCAAAGGCTTGTCACATCTATTATTCCCTCTCTTGAAGGAAACCTCTTTTTGTTGACTAGTTTGTGTGCTTACTGAACATGTCCTGCCTAAGGAGACCATTGTAACTCATTATTGCTTATGTGTAACAAAAAGTAAAAAAAGAAAGAAATGGCCAATTACATGTGCAAATAATATTTATCAATGTTTAAACCGTATCAACAAGTGAACTCCAAGAAAACCTCCTATTTTCTAAAAAACGCCAAGCTAAAGAGACATTTATGTTATCAACCGTATATATGATAAATATTTGAAGCTAATCATTTCTTTAAACCAAAGTAAGGACTTCTTTGTGAGATACAAAATGCCTCTCTGCATACCAGCAGGCCTTCTATGTATTCCAGATGTGCAAATCTGGCCAGGGTATGACCTTATCATGTTGGTGCCAGAAAACAGCAGTAGTCTGAATCCTTTCAAACACCACAGAAGAGCACACAACTCTTAAAATACTGCACCTGATGAAAGAATGATATATTGCCTTTGCTTTTGCATAAATAAAGTGCCACCTATTTACAAATAACAGCAAAATAAAAGGTGCATTAAAAACAAGTCAAAATGGAGAGAGCAGAGCAGTAAATGCAAAGTAGAGGGGGGCTAATGCACAGACATTTAAACATTAATAGTTTTCCTGATCTCGAAAGAGGCCCATTTCCAGCATTACACATTACATTTTTTTTTTAATACTATGATTTGTTTAGGGAAGGAAAACATTTTATCAGCCTCAATATAAAGATTTAAAGCCCTTCAGGTTTACAGGTAAATCTACAATGCATCATTAAAGGGTATTGCATTGTCTGAGGAAGTACATATTACATGTGGGCCATCTCCTTGTACAATCGTACACAAAACTAAAACAGGTAAAAGTCGGTAGCTGTGTACCTTTGCTATTTCATATATCGGCATTGGCAGAGTACTGCGAAAAAAGAAAGGACCTTTTCACCTGCAGATCCCTGGGACTCAAATAATCTATTCATCCACAATCCTTCTTCTCTGAAAGCACTGTGACACACTCAGACTTTAAACAAGGACGTATTATGCTTGGAATCACAGCATTAACACATCCACTGATCATTTTGAATTCTCTTTCAATATCATTCCCATATTTTGACTTAGTATGAACAGTCAAAGAATAAATCCAATGATCATATCACAAAACTACTTACTTAATGTATGAAGTACTGCTGTATTAAAGGTTGACAAGTCACAACTTCCAAATTAACAGTTGTAAATCACACTATAATTGCTCATTTACATTGTACCAGACATTCACAAGACATGGGATGTTCAAGTCTCATGTCTACATGAGTCCAATAAATCACATACATATGATTTATATATGAAAAATGAATGCAGTACAAAATGTATTCCTAAATTTGCATGCCCTTAGTATGCTAGACTGTATATAACTTCAGTACACTTCTGAAAAGCAAGCATTTAATCCAGAATCCAAATAAGCAGAACCATTAGAGTTTGGAAATATTGTATGTCTGTGCATTTAACACTCAAGGCAGAAACTCACAGATTTTTTTTTAAATAAAATTTTAGTGAGATTTAGTGAGAGAGTATACATTAAAAGTGGTACCAAGAAAATACTAAAAGCTTAAAAATTACTGAAACTGTGGCAAGGCCACGTGTAAAGTTAAATACATAAATGTGTTATTTCCCCAAATCTGTGGTTTTCAAAGAAAAACATTTTTTTTCCACATAAAACATGTCTGGATCTACATTTAAACAAATTATTTTGCTTTTTGAACTACAACCAGTAGGTACTTGCTAAACAATGTTACATTACCTAAAACTGTTCCCTACAGTGATAAGTGATTAATTTATAATCCATTTTTAAAGTAAAGGCCTTCATTACCTAAAATAATCAAACCATTATTTCTTAAATTTCCTGACTCACAAAATCCATCATGACTTGCAGACATCTGAATGCACCTAATATAACAAATTTCAGGACATCGGTACTTACTGTATGACTCAGACACAATTAAGAAACAAGCTTAAGGCCCCAATAGTGGCCTGCTCTTTGAAGCCTTTAAAATAATAGGGAAGTGCAATGTAGACAAACACTAAATAACTGCTTAGCTCTCTATGTGGGATATTTGCAGTCTCTGGGTGTACAAGATTCTAAAAAATAGCATTCCCACAACAGCCTTCAGGTATGCTATAAATCAGTCACTTTATTCTTCTTTACTAACTTTAACACTTTAAATCAACCCAAAACTATACTAAAGTGTGCTCTGGGCTTCAGTGAGAACTAGGTCAGTATGGTGAAAGGGTATTTTTCAGTTTGTAACAGTTCATGCTTTAAGTCTGTCATACAGTATATAATTTTACTACATTTTGACACCAGTATCTTTCACATTGTTAGGATGCCTAATCCAATTTTTGGGAATAACTGGAAAATAAATAGTTTTACAAATTCCATATACAGTAGATTATATATGTACTGTACTGTAGAACCAGTTAAACTAGCATCAAGTATTTCTTAACTTTGGGAGAGTAGATGGATTCTCAGTGCCAGTTTCTTTTCCAATAGTTGAAGACTAAAAAAATTCAGAAGTTACGACAAAGGAAGGGATGTGAACTAGAGCTCGAAAAAAATAGCACTGATTATCACGCCCTCGAATCAAGTTTCGTGACAACAGTACTTTTCTGAGGATACAAAAATATGTGTACAATACATCGTGCCACTTAAGACGCAGCAGCTCTCCACACGCATACCGAAGAATACATGAATTAAAATAATAATTGAGTTCAATTTAAAAAAAATCAAATCAAAGTGGATTTTAAGCAATATGTATAACAGCACATGTAAAATACATTGGCGATTTTACATTAAGCCAAAAGTAATCTCGGTGTAAAATTACTTAAAAGACAGACTAAAAACAAAAAAAAAATCAACAATGAAATCGAGATCCACATTAGGAGGAAAAGGATCATTAGGGGATCTTCAGTAGTACTTAAATATTTCATCCCCTTAAGTCATGAATATAGCTGACTGGCACCTCTCTCGAGGCTGCAGAATTCTTTACCAAACTGTGAGGCTGCAATCTTCAACCCTGTGGAATTCCACCCTGCTAACCGTGTCCACACACACCTAACGGACCACCAGTTCAAACAAAGGACTTCTTCTTGACAAATTTCTTAAAGCAGTTTTAAAGAGAACGCATTCTTTCTTTCGGGTACATCCACAGCATCGTAACTGCACGTTCAAAGCGTGCATTTAAGCGTTCATATAAAAATAGCAAGTTAAAAACCATATCGTTTTCCAAGACTTCACGACCGATCGAGTCGATCAAAAATCTTAACGGGAAAAAGAAGTTAAACAATTTACCTAAAATATGTTTAACTAAGTTCAATATTATTTACAGTTTTGTAGTCACAAAAAGGAAACAAAATTGCATTTTGGAGTAACGCTAACTAATCCAATGTGTATTGATCCCATGTACATTTTATACTATACATATTGAACTAAGGTTGAAACGTATATTGGCACTGCTTATACTGTGTTAATCGATAATGCTAGCTTGTACAGTATAGAACTGATTGATTTGTCCACTATAAAGGTGAAGGAATAAATTATGGTAAAGGGAACATTGCAATTCTAAAAACATGGAATTCCATAATCATATGAGGTCAGGCAAAGCAAGTCATTTTTGTTGTCAGAATTGGTGCCTTCAGTTTACTGACAGTGCCTAAAACTTTCCCATAAACTTTTTTTTCCCTGCCATTTCTTACCTGCTCTGACATTTGCAGCCAGCAGAACGAAAGTAAAAGTGATGAATGTGGTTAAAGTGGAGTCCAACAGCCACCTTTTCGTTTTCCACCTTGTGGACCACCTTTGCATCTCCATGATCGGCGCCCACAACTGTGAACAAAACGGGGCGGCTTCAACTTATACGAATTTCAGTCCCTTCCACAATCCCAAATGTGATTTATCTGTTCTACAAAGCCATAAGTGAAAAGCAATGTTTTTTCTTCGCACAGCCACTCCAGGCCCCTCCGATCTTCCCTTCCCTGTGCCCTGCCTTCAGACTGAAGGTATTTGGGCTTTAATCAAAATGCAAAGACCATCCGATCCCCCTAAAGCCACACCGTCAGGAGGGCTGGGCAAGCACCGCAAACCAGACCCACGATCACAGCAAAATGACAAGGAAAAAAACCTCCAGTTAGCAAATCACCGGTCTTAAAATCTGCATTGGGATCCTCCCATCGGTTTTAGACCGCTTGCCAAGTCTCCCTCCTCTGCTTTCCAAAAAACTCCATCAATTTTCTTGGAGTAGTTTGGGAATGAAAGGAATGACAGGAGAGTGCGACAGTGAATAGCCATGTAAGCAGTCTATGGTGTTTGTCTATCTCCTGAATAAGCACGCAGTGCCAGCTCCTTGTCCCGCATATTTGATCAGTTCGATTGACCTAGGCATCTCCATGGGTATCTCCAAGAATGAAACGCAACTTCTTGACTTCACAGATGGAAACGATTGGCTATTAGCCGCGGTTGTGTGCAAGAGCCGTGCTGTCAAAGTAAGTCGAGGATTTTTAAAAAAAAAAAACTTAAATGAGATAAAAATGCAGAAGGATTTAAGGACAGACAGAACGATATTGGAAGCTTTGAACAACAAAGTTAACTGCAGCGTGGTTACACCGTATTACTTTCAAAACATCGGCAGAAGGACGTTTCCTATACGTACAGTATTAAAATACATCTTCAAGTGATATTTAAATCATGTGCACAAAATAAAAAACTTCATTTTGTTCCTCCTAAATAGATTCCAGTCAGTATATTGCTTATTGTAGAATTCAATCATGGTTACAGTTGCTGGACTGGTGAGTCAAGAAATAACAGAAATTTGGCAAAACAGGAGTCTAAATGGCTGCAGTGCAATTTGAACGTGCATTACATATGAAAAAGGGAGGGAAGGGAATCCTCAAACAATGAGCAACCTCAGGGAATTCCCTCCTTCAGGAAACCTGTTGCAGTTCATCATTTGTACTGAGGGTTTGCAGTCAGATATGCCAGTAACATGATGTATGTTAACAAGGTGAAGTTTGTTGTAGCTGGATTTATTATTTTCAGCTATTGAACAAATTTAAATTAAGTTTAATTACAGTATGTTTAATTGACAGGGCTGGCTGTTTAGGGACTCTAGAAGAAAGTCTGTTGTAAGAAGCCTGAATATTTTTTTAGATGGTCTGCTCATCACTGTTACAGTGTTATTAAACTACTGTCTTTGGGTAGTTTAATAAAGTTTGGGTATCCTGCCTAAAAATCCTTATTTTTTTCTCAGCACCTCCAAATACTGCCATGCTGTCACAGTGGGTGTAAGACACTGTTTGATAACACACCAGAAGGAAGAGGATGGTTTCCAAAACAGAGTAACTTTTAAAGTTCACATCGAGCTGAAGATTCAATTAATATGCATAATCCAGCAGTTAGGCACATGGTAAACCACCAGCTGTTCCAGCAGACTGAAAAAGACACCTCTTTAATGATCTGTCTGTACTTTACCTTTTCAGAATACAAACACTGGCAAGAAGGAAACTATCAGTGTCTGCAGAAGCTAAGGAGGAGCAGACCTCATCTTCTCACCATGTAAGAACCTGCAGCAGGATATCAGCTCCAAGCTTCGGTGAGAGATGAGTTGATTACACCCAGAGTGAGAGACCCAGCAGCTGACCCAATGACTTATGAACTGCACAGAATGCCAGCAGAGGACCCAGCAGGCTATGTGGTGCACTGAGAGATGGTTATACAGAGATGTACCACAGCAGCAAATGAGCAAGTCAAATGCCAAAACCATTTTCCAGCAGTGATTAAGTGGTGTCCGTGCCAGTGATATATTGTACCAGGTCACGTGTCAGTGACTACCATTCCAAAGCAGCAGGACTAGTGTGCCCGGAGTGGGAATCAACACTGTTCCCAAGTTTCACAGTGCCCTATCCAGCCTCTCATTGAGAGGTTTGCGGGTGGATATATTGTATGGATTTGGGTTAGATTTTCATTGTCAGGAAATTCTACTAGGTCTAAAATTACTGTTATAGCTTGGTTAACTGAGAGATAGAGTTTACATAAAATATGTTGAGGTTTAAGCTTGGTTCTGACTTTGTGTTAAGACTTAAGATGTGATGATATGGTTCAATAACTGCCATTTTATTTAGGTAAGGAGCCAGGGATATGATTGAGGTAAGGTTTTCTGCCGTGCTTTCTAAGCAGGACTGAACTGCAGTTAGGTTTTATTTTATTGGATTTAACTTTGTATGAGGAAAGGTTAGTGTTTGAGTTCAGTTATGATGGATATACTGTATGACGATAACTCAAACTATCCAAACTCAAACTAAGACCCAGTTTTTAAAAAGCTTAAGACGAGACGTAGTTTATCAGAAAGGAGTGCTACAGGCATTAGTGTTGGGGTTGGACTAGCTAGGTCTGACATGTGAAATTATTGATCAATTGAAAAAAGGCAATTGCAATTTATTTATTCATTGTCATTGTGATTCTTCGGCTTTATGCCTCGTGCAACTCCTGTGTTTTATTTTCCTTGGCATAGATATGAAATGTTTTATAGAGAAACTCCAACAGTAATATTGGAACTCTCCTACAAAAATCAAATAAATATCATTGCTTTTTTAACTCCTGCATTTGTTTACATTTCTGGGGGGTTGTGACACACAATTCTGAAAACATTACCAACAATTACTCCTTCTCTTTTAGAACATTTGTTGCCAGGCAGAGAAAAACTTTTTTTCACTGACTCCTATGTTAAATGAGTAGGTAACCAATATCTCTTAGAGAGACAGATTCTAAGACATTCTTGGAAAGACGTGTAATTTTACATTACATTTCAGGACACAGAAAGGGAGGCCACTATTCATCTAGGTCACTATATACAGTAGTTCTTAAAGCATGTCAAGTACCAAAATATAGTTTGAAAGTATGGATCTTATAATTAATATGAACTGAATGCAAAACCACAAATATAATTTATGGAGGCAAAAAAAAGTTTTCAAATTCTTGAAAGCCCAGCTTTAGGGAGTCTGTACTTTTTGGATATACTTCCATGAGTCTGAAAATAATTTAAAAATCATCATTGGCTCAGGAAAAAAGAACTACAGGTGGTAGCTATATAATTCAGTGCAATCTTTTAACTTTAATAATACTGTATTTTACAATGTAATAACAGAAGGTACTGTATATGTTTGTTAACTAAACCATTATAAACTATTTTTAGAACTGTGAAAATAAAGTGTTTCATGAAAATATTTCAATTTAGATGAAAAGCTGCTTGGTATGAAATGCTAGGACTACAAGAGTAAGCTGTAAACAAACATTTATTTCTTTATGTTTTTATTTCTTCCTTATTTATCATCATATTGCAGTTTTGCTGATTTCCTGTGTCCTCCCAGATTGCTTTCAGCCATACAAAATATATTGTTTTTCAAGAAAATTCTTTCTTTTTGAAAAGCATTATCAATACTGAAAAGTGTTGTAAAATACTTTACAATAAGCCTTAAGAGGTGTCTGTCTGTACTGCATGTTTGAAAAAATGAACAAATAATAAAATTGTTGCTTATATTTGTAATATAAGTCACATCAGTTCTGAAAATATTGCAAGATACTATGTATCTCCTATGATTTCTTCAGTGTTTAAGCTCCAAAGATTCTGCTAAACTAGAAAAAATATTAGTTTGCTATGTAAATCAATTGCCATTAATTTTAAATTCAGGGAATAACAATAAGCATTTGATTACTTATTATTTTCTTAATGTCTTACAATATATCATCAACAAATGTATTGTTTTTTGGTTTATAAAACATAATGATACTATTGATTTGTCACTTCTCATAATTCTTTCTTCTGAATTCTATTCAAGACACAGCTGAATACAGTTGGATTGAATCTGCTTCTGCTTAATAAAGTGTGATTAATTTAATTCCTTACAAGAAAAAACGCATAACCGGAAGAGGGAGCGTTGATGTCTTAAACATATATTTTCCTTGTACTCCTTAATTACATTTCAAAAATCAGTTGTGTCAGTCTGTTTCTAATTTAGTCAGTATCAGGAATATAACATAATGACAATGGCTTAAAGTATTTTGTGTTTAAAAGATGATCTGAGTTTTTGTAAAATAAGGAACTGAGTGAGCCATCTTATTTTAAGTTATTTACAGATTAATTTTCTTGTATATTGACAATACAATATACTATATCTTTAGAATATGCAAAATACACCTTAAAGGTCAAACTAAGTACTTGTGCTTCAGTGTACTGTATATGAACTTAGATGGTACTGAAAATTGTATTTCTAGATGGTCACAGTACAATTTTTCTACAGTACTATTAAAAGTAGTCCTAATCAGAATGGCACACTCTGTTTTGTTCTTCTAAACATTGTTAAATTCTGCTGACCCTATGGAACTGTTTTCCTTTATATAAGTGAGTATAATAAGGGTGAAGAGGAAGTTATCAAACTAATTTTTCTTACTCACTTGAGCCCAGTGGGAGACTTCCAAACCCTAAACCATACAGTACAATTTGAAATCTTGCATTTCAAAACAAAGGAGTAGTGTTTAGGGCTCTAGAAGAGATGGTTGTGGGTTCAAATTCCAGGTGGACAGTGCAGTTGTGCTGTACTCTTCAGAAGGTAAACTTTAATTGCTTCATTACTTTCCCTGCTATGTAAATACATACTCTCCAGGTTGTCATTGTGAATAAGAATTTTATCTGAGGTGTCTTTTCTGAATTTACCCCTACATAAAAGTTTAAAATAACAAAATGGTTTCTGCTAAACCACTGTGGTCTTTATTCTAAAGCCATCAGCCTCATTTACGGGATTATCAAGTCATTAACATTACAGTAAGAGCCTATACTAAGACAGTAGCTTTTATCCTCACTGAGGATGCCAGACCATCTCAGGATAAAGCCCCACATGAACCAAAAAGCATGCACTGAAGTTCAGCCAGCTCTGCAGTGAAATGTGGCAGATGAGCCACAGGAACAGCTATAAAAGGTTTTAGGAAACAGATTCGATTTCAAACAGAGCATATAACCGGATAAGCTAAATCTTTTTTACCAGGGATAGATGACACTCCCGTTGCCAAAAAAAAGTATCACAAAGGATAGTGGGCCACAGGTCAACAATATTACAAAGAGACTGCT